TGACGGGCTTAACAAAGAGGCCAGCTTTCTGCGCCAAGAGAAGCTGAAACAAGATGGAGCCCACCAACCCGAATGCAAACACGTTCCAAAAGCTACATATGTCCAAATGACACTCTTGTAGGACACTCTTGTGGGACACTCTTGTGGGTCACTCTTGTGGGAAACTCTTGTGGGACACTCTTACGGGACACTCTTGTGGGACACTCTTGTGGGACACTCTAGTAGGAAACTCTTGTGGGACACTCTTGTAGGACACTCTTGTGGGATACTCCTGTAGGACACCCTTGTGGGACACTCTTGTGGGGCACTCTTGTAGGAAACTCTTGTGGCACACTCTTACGGGACACTCTTACGGGACACTCTTGTGGGACACTCTTGTGGGACACTCTTGTGGGACACTCTAGTAGGAAACTCTTGTGGGACACTCTTGTAGGACACTCTTGTGGGATACTCCTGTAGGACACTCTTGTGGGACGCTCTTGTGGGGCACTCTTGTGGGACACTGTTGTGGGACACTCTTGGGACACTCTTAAGGGACACTCTTGTGGGACACCGTCGCGGGACACTCTTGCGGGACACTCTTAAGAGACACTCTTGTGAGACACTCTTGCGGGACACTGTTGCGGGACATGTGGGACACTGGGACACTCTTGTGGGACACTCTTGCAGGACACTCTTGTGGGACACTGTTGTGGGACACTCTTGTGGGACATGTGGGACACTCATTTGGGACACTCTTGTGGGACACTCTTGTAGGAAACTCTTGCGGGACACTCTTGTGGGACACTCTTGTGGGGCACTCTTGTGGGACACTCTTGTGGGACATTCTTGTAGGAAACTCTTGTGGGACACTCTTGTGGGACACTCCTGTAGGACACTCTTGTGGGATACTCTTGTGGGACACACTCTTGTGGGACACTGTTGCGGGACACTCTTGTGGGACACTCTTAAGGGACACTCTTGTGAGACACTCTTGCGGGACACGCTTGTGGGACACTCCCGTGGGACACTCATTTGGGACACTCTTGCGGGACACTCTTGTGGGACACTCTTGTAGGACACTCTTGTGGGACACTCTTGTGGGACACTCTTATAGGACACTCTTGTAGGAAACCCTTTGTGGGATACTCTTGTAGGACACTCTTGTGGGACACTCTTGTAGGAAAC